TCCCGAGCGAAGGGAACCCCACCCTCCCCCTCAGAAATCGCGGGGGGCAGGGGCAGGGCTCGCAGGAGGCCCCCTGGCTGGCGTCGCCTGCGCCTGCCGACGAGCTGCTGCATCCTGGGCGCGCGTGCAGCCCGAGTGGGTCGCGCCCGGCGCAGCGCGCCGCCCGCGCGCGCGCGCCCGCAGGAGTGGGCCTCGGTCGTCCGCGCGCCGCGCCCGAGCAGAGGAGGCTTCGAGGAGAGCGACCGCGACCACATTGCGCGGGTTGGCGGCCAGCCAGTCCTCCTCGGGGCTTTTCGGCGCCCGGAGGAGCGGCGCGCCCGTCGCCCCGGCCAAGCGGGTGCTACGGCCCATCATCAACACGGCGCCGAGTGACCGCGTGAAGCGCCACATCGACCGGGATATCGGGCTGTTCGCAGTCGGCGGCGAACGCCGCGTCGCCATCGTCCAGGACCGCGAGACTATGGAGTAGAGACGACATTTAAGAGATGCTTCCATGTGTTCAGGTTGCCCCAGTGTTGGCGCCCATGGATGGCACTCGCGGCCCCTGTAGACCCTGCCGCTCTGGGCCAGTGGGCCCCCCTTGTGGTCGGCGGTCGCAGGGGTGGTTGTCCGCTGTCGGCATCGTGCAGCACCTCTCGCGGCAGATCGTGCTTCGGGGTGTCACTGGGCATGCGTCGCCCTTCCCGCTCCAGCTCCACCACCTGCCGCGGGGCTGGTGGAAGGTCTACGTGGGCAACGTGGACTTTGCGGAGGTATACCAGTTCCAGATGCCGACGCGCACCGGCTCAGCGGCCAGGTGTCGGTCGAGCAGCTGGCGGTCCGAGTCTCTCTGGAGGGGCGCGGTATCGGGCGGAGCGAGACAAGGGCGGTCGAGCGCTCCACGCACGCGGTCAGCATGGGGCCCGGCATCGACGGGACTCGATGCCGGGCGGCCCCGGCTCTGGGGCGGAAAAGAGGGGGGTAATGACTAGGGGGGGGGAGGGATATCATGGCGGGGGCCATGATATTTCCCCAGATTTCATGGCGCCTCTTCTTGTTTCATTGCGCCCCTGGTCCCCCCGCTGGGCCGCGCACATGCCGCCGGTCATGATTTGCACCCCCCCCTCTTGGACACCCCCCTCTTGGCCGCTCCCGACCGGCACTCCCGAAGCTGGCCCAGCGCCTGGTGCTCGCAGCCTAGATCTTGACACGTCGCGACTGCCGGGCCCTGTGGGTTGCGGCGGCTGCCGGCCGGTGGTGCTTCGACCTCGGCCACCGCCGCGCCGCCTGCGGCGTCGTTGACCGCGTCTGGAGGGAGATCGGCCGGCGGCAGGGCTCGCATCCGATTTCTGAGAAGGTCGGCGGCGAGTTTTACATGGCCTGCTCGATCCCCAGACCCCCGACGTCGTGATTTGTTCACAGCGTCGACCCCCAGAGCTCTGGACCCCTTCCCCGTGACCGGCTTTTCGTCCTGAGTCGTTTTCTGACGGTCTCGGGGCCCGGCGAGGGCCCCTGGAGGCCGAAAATCGCGAAAACCCGCCCGTCGCGATTTTTCCATGATTCGAGGGGGTCTGGGCCACCCCGCTGCTGAGCACGAGCCGCAGGGCGCGGCTCCGCCCGCGGCCCGTTGCCACCCAAACTCCGGATATCCGCCCTACTTTGGAGAGATTCGTAAGTCGGGCTTCGAATTTCCGCCTCACTTTTCAAAAGCCCCGCTGATGCCAATTTCCGCCCTACTTTTCTGTTGCCGTTTCCGCCCTACTCTCGTGGATTTCCGCCCTACTTTATGCCGGGTGCAGAAATTGCCGCCCTATTTCTTCGGCTTCTTATAGGTGGATTTCCGACGCAATTTCAAGGTGGAAAAAAAGCCAAAGTAGGGCGGATCTCGCGAGCAGCGTGGCCCGGCAGCATCGAGTGGCCGGACACCGCGCAGGCGGTGCTCGAGATGGTCGAGGCTGCGAGGCGCGCCGCGCCCGGGGCCGTCGGGGCCTCGGCGCCGCGGGGGCTGCCCTGCCGGCGCGCTCCGGCCCCTGAGCGGCGGGATTGTGTGGGAGACCCCCCGCGTGTCAGCGCCGCTGTCCAAGGCGTTCGGGGGCGCGCCGTGGGTCGATGTGTTGGAGCACGTCGCCTGCGCCACCGCGGACTCGTGCCTCCAGATTCCGGAGGTGCTCGGCCGTCGCCCCATCCTCGTCGAGGCGGCTGGGATCCCCCGCGCGCGACGCCCCCGCCTCTGTGCTGGTGCCGTTTCCTTGTGGGGCGCGGCGCGCCGCGGCCTTCGTCTCTCGCGCGTGACGCGGTGGAGCTGGCGGCGGGGGCGGGCTGCCGCGCCTCGCCCCCAGTGGAGAGAGAGAGGTCTTGGTCTTGATGGGCTTCTGGCCGGAGCATGCAGTGCCTGCTCGGGCCGCCTCCGGCTGCGAGGACGGTGGCGCGCGGTGCTCCCAGTTCGGCAGCAGTTAGGGGGCCGCAGGCGAACCCTACCCCTACCCCCCACGATTTCTGAGGGGGAGGGCGGGGTTCATTTCGCTCGGGAGCTCGGCCCGAGCGAAGTGAACCCCACCCTCCCCCTCAGAAGTCGCGGGGGGTAGGGGTAGGGTTCGCATGCGGCCCCCCATTTTTTCCTGGGCTGCCCCGTCATGCTGACCATCGAGGGTCTGACGTCCGGCTTGACATCGGCCTCCCTTGTCGGGCCTCGGCGTGGCCGAGGGCGCCCATCGCGACGGACAGGTGGATCTGGCAGACGATCCCATCCCGCAGATGGCGGCGCCTCGGCCAACACATCAACGAGCTATGGAGATGCAGGAGGTCTTACCCTGTTGACTGTAGGAAAGCACTCGCTGCGCCCTCGTCTTGCGAGCGCGCGCTGTTTTCATGTCGTCACGCGCTCGGGCCTTGAGGAGCTAGCGGGCAGCCGCTTCGACTGCAAGGCCGAAACCCATGTCCGCAACGAGAAAAAATGCAGGAGGTCTTACCCGCTCTCAAACATGGCTCGCGCGCAAGAATGACCGCCATGGCTCGAGGATAGGTATTAAGGTCGACTCCCAGGCGGTCCTCGCCAGTTGTGCCGGGGGCCGGTCGTCTTCGCGCAGGCGGAACCAGCTTGTCAAACAATTTGACGCGCAGTGCTGAGCCTGCGTTTTCTATTCCTCCCACGGCTACGTCGCTCGCAAGGCCCACCCGGCCGACGCCCCCTCGCGAAGGAGCGGGCGCGCGGCGTCTGGCCTCCTTCGCCCGGCCCGAGCCGGCGGGCTCCGCCCTCTCGGCCCATTTGAGGCGCCCCCGCTGGGGAGGGGCGCGGAGCTCCAGCCGCGGGCCGGGCAGCCGAGTCGACGAAATGCCGCCTGAAGTGCTTCGCGCTTCTTGCTTGCCGCAGAAGGGAAATTCGCGCCCGGGCCCGCCGTGCCGTGGGCCGCCACGCTGCAGTGCGCGGTCTCCGCGCCGACCCTGGCGCGCGACGCAGCGCGCGTTGATGCCTTCCTGTCTTGTCAGGGGTCCGAGTGGGAGGCTCCAGATGGATCAGAGCCTCATGGGATACGTCGAGATGCTTTGGTCCGATGGGGGGGCCGAAAAGTGGCGCCTCCGGCCTCGTGGCCGGGCTCCCGCCGTGTAGGCCGCGGCCCCGTCACCAGCTGAACGGGAGCTGGCGCCTGCTGGGCGCTTGGGCAAAGGCCGAGCTCCCAGCCCGCGCGCCTCCTCTGCCCCAGCTGGTGGCCATAGGGCTCACTGGCTATGTGGCTGCAATGCATTGTTTCGACGCCGGTGTCCTATGGCTCGTAGGCTACCACTGTTTCCTGATCTGGCGAAATCTTCAAGCTGCGTACCCGAGACGTGGTTTTCTCCACTGATCGAATCACTGCCGTGTTGAGCTTAATTAGGATTCACGACAACCGGCAGGCGGCAGGGAAAAAGAAGTCCGTCACTACGTCGGATGCGGTGGTCGTGCGAGCGCTGTGGCAACTCGCCCAGCCATGCCAACCCTCCGAGCCGCTCGCTCACATTTCGGGCCCCGGGCAGCGGGCCTTGTTCAAGCAGGCCTGTCGGGAGCTCGGGCTCGAAGACCACGGGTTTGCTCTCTACTCAGTCATGAGGGGTGGAGCCCTGCACGAGCTTAGCTACCATGGATCTTTGGACAGGTCTACCGTGCGCGGCCGCGGGAGCAACAGCCGCACTGCCCGCATTTGCACTGCGGAGGGGCCGGCGATGTTGGGCGAACGGCGCCTCTCGCCAGCCTCCAAGGATGCCTTGTCTACGGCAGCCACGTTTTGCGCGGTCCCGCTTTCGACGAGCCGCCGACGTCTCTGCAGGCCGCGCAAGGGGGCCTCCGACGCGCGCGGCGAAGACGAAACATGCGCCACGCCGCGCCACGCCGACACGGCACCGCCACTTTCGCGCGCAAGCCGTGCGGCGCTTGGGCGAGGTCCGCCCTTCGCCCGCTCTCGCGCGGCCCCGCTGCGCGTTGCCGCTGTCGCGCGAGGCACGCGCCGTGCGCTGCGCCAGCGCGGGGGCGCGGCCTCCGAGCGAGGCGCGCGCAGAGCCTTGGGCGAGCGCGGCGCGGCGCCCGCCCGCGCGGGGGCCCCAAACACTGGCGAGCGAAGCTGTGCGCCGCGCCGAGGCGGCAGCGCCACTTCCGGGCGAAAGTCGCGTGGCGCCGAGGCGAGGGCGACACTTTCGTCCGTTCGCGGGTCGACCATGCGACGTGCGGAAGATGTGCGCCGCGCCCCAGCGGGGGCTCGGCTCTCTGGAAAATGAGCGTAGAGGAGGAGGAGGAGGAGGAGGAGGAGGAGGAGGTGGAAGAAGAAGAAGAGGAGGAGGAAGAGGAGGAGGAGAGGAGGAGGAGGAGGAGGATGAGGAGGAGGAGGAGGCGGAGGAGGAGGAGGAGGAGGACGACGACGACAACGAATACGAGGGCCAGCAGGGGGAGGGAAGCGAGGATGAGGAGGAGAAGTGCGAGGCGGGAGGAGGGGAGGGGGACGAGGAGCAGAAGGGGGGGGAGGATACGCAGTGCGGCGGGGCCGCCCGCCGAGGAAGGACCGAGGCCGCGCTGCAGTTCGCGAGGAGCAACCTGCCCCCCGACACCGAGGCGATCACTGCAGGGGCGCGGGGAGGGAGGGGGAGACACCGCCGTTTGCGAAATAAACGCCCATCTTAGGGATCGAAAGCAAGACGACGAAGCACGCCCCCTTTCCCCCGCATTTCAAGGTTGACGGGGAGGGCTGGGCAGTCCAACACAAGTGGGCGTTTATTTCGCAACGCTTCGCACTCCCCTTCGGCGTGTTTGGTGGCCAACATTGAAATGCGGGGCGCGGGGCGGGGCTCTCGGTGCTTCCACACGTGGGC